ATCTTCCATTATGTTCTCAGCAAATAATTTGAATACATTTCTAAAAGACAAAAGGAATTCTTTTCATTTACAATCTAACGACCCTCAAAGACTATAGGTATTATACATTCGCAGAAAAAGTTCAAAGCTTCAATGGGAACACTTGAGATAATGTATTCCAGAACCGTAATGTGCTTGATAGGAAACAATAAATTTCCTATAAGGTTCTAATCTGCAAACACAATAGTCTACTCCATTAATAAAAAAATTAAGAAATTTCGTAAATTGTAAATAATTTCCCATAAAAACTTCTATATCCCTTTCCATGTCTTTTTAGATCGCTTTGTTGATGGATAAAAATTACATATACTTCCTAGAGTTTCAAACTATCGCCGTAATAAATTTTCTTAAAAATTGGTTCATCGGTTTAAGTGTTTAAGTGTGAAACTTACTACCGTAAGAATATCATTATGTATATAAATTAAGTAAGGATAACTAAAACAATGAAATAAACTATTTACTAACGCCTAAGTACGAAAGCAAGAAATACAGATATTTTCCTTGATAAATCATAGTATTACCTTGCACAGCGCCATCTATTTCTAATCATAAATAAACCGTAACTAAGAGGCTTAGCATACTTGATCTTGGGATTTAAGAGATTGCTGACTGGCGAGAAATCATTATCTCAGCAAAAGAATAAATTAGAAAAGTAATTCGACTTTTTAAAGCTAATGTAATTTGTCATTTATGTTGTAAAGTCGAGAGTTTGAAACAAGGGCAAGCGAGAGCGACGCCTCTATGACATCCGTGATTAATGAAAGGGAAATATGGCAACAAGCTTTACGTTAAAACAATCTTAAAAAGGCGCGTACAGCCAAAATAACTACCTTTCAACTGATTTTGTACAAGAATGGGAAAACTTATATTTTCAGTCACATTTTTCCATTTCTTGAAATTCAAATTCTATATCACATATTCAGTCTAGGCTGTTGTAAGCCCTTGTAAATCTCGAAAACTACGACAAGAGACCTTTTGCTCAAAAGAACCGGCCGTATAATAGAAAAAAAAAAGAAAATATGTCACTTTGTAGCCGAGGGAATTATGGAATAAGCTTTGGGGGTAATACTTTCAGTATGGGGTAATTCTGAAAATGACGAATCATCACCAAATCAGGCATTTATCAACTATCGATAAAGTTAAAAAATAGACTTTTAATACGTAGATAAAAAAATATTTTTAATATTTAAGTTTAAACATATTACTTCTGCTGCTATTCTTTCTTTATATTACAAGTATAGATAATAATCGCAAATGTGTTTATTTCTTTCCTTAGTCTTCTTTTTGTCGCGTTAATCTGATTCTGAGCAGAAACAAAACATCAACTGGTCGTATGTAATTATTAAGCCTAAATTTACTGAAGCTGGTACACTAAAATAGCTACTTAGTGCGGTCGTTTCGTGTAATAGCCTCGATTCATCCGGCCATTGTGTGGAACGCCAAATGTCCGATTTGCACTGAACATAAATCTTGTAGAATTGTATCCCGCTGACTTTCACTATTTGTATCACTTCGTTATTACACGAACATATAAAATTAATAGTTGATATCGGTTTCAGTACCGGTACTAACGGAAGTACTTTAAAATGGAACGTATTTTTTTGTTTTTCGACTCTAGATAGATCGCGCGCTAATATTCTGAGTTGATTTTTGTTTTTACAATAAAAAATGTCTCCGTCTATTCATATATTATATAAAGGAAACATTTGATTGATTGTTTGTTTGCTTACATCCTATCGAATCTAATCCGCAACGAAATAGGCTCCAAAATTACTAAAGCGATTTGAAAAATTACTTTATGTAAGGAAAGCTACATTTTACGTGGGTGATATATGTTATTTATACGCTGGTGAAATCGTAGGAATACAGCTATTATACTTATACATATATTGTATACAGACTGGTATGTATAATCATTTATGAAAGTCAAAAATCTAATATCTCAAACATTTGCAAATTTATAGTGCTAGGTACTGTAAAAATTGACAAGAAAATTGGCTACGTTTTTCTCTTTATTTTACTTTGTATGGTGAGTCGAGGTGGTAAATGTTTCCCAATTTCCATTACAATATAAAATACAATATTCATCAGTAGGTAACATACCGTCTCATAAATTACATAAATAAGTAATATACATTTTTTTTTTCATCTGTGGTCATTTTCATTTACTAGAGGTAGTCTCTATGTTTCGACTTCAAAATCGAAAAGTATGTGCTTATAATTGTGAACATATTAAAAAAAAAATATCTCATGAAATCTTATGAACGCAAGGTTCCATGTAAATTTTATCGATATAACATTAGTTTTTTTTTATCTTTTAACAGTCAGTCTCACAAACGTCCCTTTAGGTTTAATGACGCCATTAAGCTCTTATGAAGGTCACGTTTGAAAGTGACATTATCGATACATAATGTCACTTTAAACTATTGACAATTTTAATGGTCATTTGCGCAACTGGCTGTAAGTCTTTTAAATTGAAGGCAATCTATGTAAGTTTTTACTTCCAATCTTTCTCAAAGTCATTTGTTTGAACATTTCTTAAATAATTTCGTTATACAGTTTTCGCATAACATGACCGTACGACTTGTAACGACTCCAACCATTTATTGTGAATAGGTGTTACTTTTAAGGTATTTCTTAAGAAGCCCACCTAAGCATCCGCACTTCGGTCATATGTAGGGTGTGAGCGAAGACAGACATACTGATGGTTGTTAATTATGCATAATTTATGCGGCCCAAAATAAGCGGTCTAGAGCAGACTCAATTCCAGTAGCAACGCCCGTTATTATTATATTTGTAAAAACATACAACTGGACTTACCTCAAATTCAAACTACATTATTTATATTTAAAATAGTTATCCAAAAACAAACTATTTACTTTTTTAACTAATCAAGCTGAAACTTCAAAGTACGGTTTGAAACTCGACCTTCACTCTATTGTGTTACGACGTACCGGATATTGGCAGTATATATTTTGATAGGGCACTATTATATAAAATAAGTAGAATTATAAAAAGCAACTTTTCGACAGGTTTAGTGATCAGAAGGCTTGTTTGTACCTTGTCCAAAGAATAAGTTTAGCAATACAAAGAGGAATCGCCCGCAGTCTTCTGGCCACCTTGCCTGTTGGCAATGATTTGTGGGATATTTTTTCTTAATAGAAGAATTAGATTTGTAAATACAGTAGAGCGTCAATTATCCGAACGTCGATCAACCGAACGACCGCTTATCCGAACTCCCGACTCTCCCGCGCCCCGCGCTCGTGCGTGCACTTGTTTCGACTTCTACAATATTAAATCTGATGTCTAATAAAACTGACACCACTTCATCTACTGCAAGTTCAGATAATGAAGATGAAAACATAATTGGTGCATCAGAAGCGTTTACTTGATTAGATATTGCCTTGCGTTGGTTTGAAACACAAGTCGAGAACGACCGGTATCAAATATATGTCCTTAAAAAATACGTGACCTAGCCGCTCGGCTTGCTTCGGCAGACGAAAATTGAAGATTTTTTAAGCGTTAGTAAATTACACTTAATACTCTTCTTTTTTCACCAATATTGTACTTAGAATGTTTTGTTGCAAATACTTCAGTTTATTTGTTTTCTAATTCCTATTTTTCAATAAAGATATTATTATGTGTAAATATGGCTTCTATTGGGTACATATGTAAATATGGCTTCTATTCACTCGTGGATAAATAAATATGTATGGCTATATCAATACAGTTCGATTATCCGAAAAAACCGGTTTTCCGAACACCCCTGTCCCCCAATTAGTTCGGATAATCAACGCTCTACTGTATTTATTAATGCTGACTTATATAGTAAAGTAGAATTATCCGACAATATACACAAAGAATTCCAATATAAAGAAATTTAAAACTACGATAGCTAGCAATATTCATTCCCAGTTAATAAATTGCTGACTAGGTTTTTTTATCACTTTATGGTAATTATGACATTTCAATAGACGCATCAACACCATACGATCTTATTAATTAGCGATCCAGCATAATACTAAATCACTATCAGATTTTACTTTTCACCAAATGGTGTCAGATAATAAAGGAAACATTTTCATTAATTTGAATTGTCTCGCGAAAACAATCAGCCACGTGACATTTCGAGCCGAGACGTCACATTTCAATAAACATGAGTACAGTGCGCTCGCAACAAAGACGTTGAAGTTTAATTTATTGAAATGTTACGTTACATGATAATACGTCATGGCCACCCGCGTGTTGGTTCTTGTAATCCACAGATTATAAGATTAAAATATACTTATAATTTATTATCTGATCAATTTCGCATTCACAATGCTGTACTAGAAAATATGCTGAAAGAAAAATGCTTAAATAAATCCACTATATTCCATGACCTCTGAGATGGGATTCGAACCCATAATGACCCTTCGCAATCCAGGCGACTGTTCTAACCACTGAGCTACCCAGGACCTAACAGGACTGCGAAAGTTCATGGGATTGAATCCCATCTCAGAATGCCAGGGAAAAGTGGATTTTAAAACATTTTTTATTAAGAATATACTTGCAATTTAATTTTAAATAAGAAATACTACATAGTTATTGTTTACATATTAGTAAATAAGTCTTAGATTAAATCTACTATTGCAATAATAATAGTATCGCCCATACTAAAACCAGGTTTGTCCCATAGGATGAGCTTTATATAAAATACTAAGTCGATTTCGTTATTTCTTTAGTTCTTGTCATTTTGTGCTCTCACATTGGGCATTTATCAAACTTAGCAGTCATTTTAATAATACCCTACTAATAATTTACTTCATAACATTGAAAAAAAACCGTAACTATTTATCACAATCAAAGATCTAAAACAAAACTACAACTATAACACCACTACTTTTTGATGTTTAAAAAGCTAAACTAATAAATGCGGTATTCCACAGCACGGCAACGCAACAACGTCGAGTGAAACATCAATGGGCACGAATACCGCTACAGCAACAGCAGGACCCAGCAAACCTCCGCCACCGGCGGCGAAGTTCCGTCACGGTCTGCTACAGCTCATGATACACACCATCGATCCGATGCACGACGGTGAGTTAGGTATGCACCACGCTTCGCTTTACACCTATTTAAAGATAGCATCAGGAACAGGACTAGCGCGTAACTGCATTTATATTAATTCCTGTGTGGCGACATCTCTCCCACCACGCTAAAATCGCCATAATAATCGACGGCAAGACGGAAGCTTCAGGTTACCTAGATAACTCTCGTACCATAATATTAAAAAACCATGTGTTTACCCGCAACTTCACACGTTTAAATTATAGCCTATGTCACCCGCGTATGATGTTCCCATTGATGAAATAATTTTTAAAATTGGTTCTGTAGTTACGGAGCCTATTCGATAGAAACAAACAATAAAAACTTTCCTCTCTATAATATTAGTAGGTATAGATATTAATAAATTATCAGAATACCTATATTACTGCAGTATCAAAGTGGTTTTTTCGATTATATATTATTTCTTACTATCATAACACAAGTGTCCGATCTCTACATAGCCACTTATCTTGGGATCGGAACAATGTATAGATATTGACGTTTGATATTTCGCTTTAAGAGCTTTGAAACAAGCTTAGGCATGTACATAAGTTAAGTATTTCTTTAATTTCATTCTATTTCCAAATGACGTGATCCTTTTGAACGCGGATAGAATTCAATCTCTAAAACTGCTTCTTTGCATAAAATAAAAATCGATAGCTATGAATATTATGTAAAAAATTATCAGTCATAGTCTAAGACTTTCATAGTATAAAAGTGCAAAAAGGTGTTTTGTCGTATAAATATAAAATAATATTTGCATTTTTTTCAAAACACTGTTTAATTTGTAGTAGGAATAAGAAGGTAATATACTGCTAAAGTAAATAAGTATTTAGGAAATTGTGAATCTGCAATATCTTAGTATATAAGTCATCTGACGATGTAGCACCGCAGCCAAATTCACGAACTGCAAATTTTGGCAGCCAAGCCAAATCGCACGCTATAAGCAGTGTATCCACTAAGCACATTAGTATATGGCTTTTGCCACGCCATAAAAATACTTAACACTTTTAAGTTAGAAATAAAATGAAGCATGACAATAATTAATGATAATTTTAGGTAAATTAAATCTTAGGTAAAGAATGTGTTAATATTAGTTTCAAGTGAAATATTTTTCAAGCGTGACATAAACGTGTAGCCTTATTTGATTGTTAACTATGATTATGATATGACAACGTGAATATAAATAAATATATGGGCATTTGTTAACAATCTGAAAAGTGAAATATTGTTGGCGTGAATTTTGGTTGGGGATCATTTCTACTATTATTAGGTACCTAATGGTAGTTTATGTGTATCTGTGGTAATGGTATTTTATAAGTAATTTGATATGTAAATTTAAATTAAATATGTATTGAATTTTTTACGTTTTTCGTTTTTATCTAAACATCTTATGTTTGTATTGCATCTGTTTATACTCAATTCATTTTGTAATTTTTTAGTGTACCAACTCCTGTATTTTAATACAATTTTCATCAAAATGGAAGAAATTTATGCTGTATACACCTATTTTTCACCCTAAATAAATAAAATTATATAGTTTACAGTGGTACATTAAAACGGGCATCAATGTCTATCGTTGTAATATTATGCATTATTATCAAACTTGTGTAATAACGACCTCCGTAACCGAGTAGATCGCACGCTGGTTTCTAGGTAAATGTAAAAAATTAAGTTTTCTACATGTGACGGGTCTGAGTGTTGTGGTACCCATATAACAAAGCTTGGAATCTGGGGAGCAATTCTGTAAAAATTTCGAACCCGAATTACATCGTTTAGTGTATAAATTATATTGGTTCCATTTTTGTATACTAAATACAAAACAAGATTGATTGATTCACTCATATTCTATTTATATGTTATATTGAAACTCACTTCACTTATGCCATGAAACGTTATTACCAATTCGAGGTTGAGTGGATGACGCTTTTGAAGTGAGTTCGGATAGTTGAGTGGATTCAAATTCGGGTTTGAATTTTTACAGAATCGCAGGGCTGAGCTTGAACGTAATCTGATGTAGATTTGTTCTTTCGTTATTCATATACTGTGTTATTAATAAAAGAGATTTAGCGAAAGAGTAAATTTACGCTGAGACTGTACTTAGTATTTGTCAAAATTCATAATATTAAACAGAGACTTAGCAAAGGTTAAAAAATAAAAAATCCTTTTTAAATAAAATAAAGATTCAAATATCCAGTGATAAGTAGGTGTTTATCTTAAATGTTTATCTCAGTAATAACTGAGCACATAAATAACTCACTAAAATGTGTTAATTATTGCACTGTTATTATTTGTTTAATTATATTCATATATTTTATTAGATATATGAATATAGATTGTATTTATTATTATAGGTATGTTTAAATGATTGAATAGCCTTAAAATAGTTCAATAATCGTCTAACTATAAATAAATATCATATTAACTAAGAAATATTTAATAGATGTTTTTCTTAACAAAGTTGCATGTCTATTACTTACCTCAATGCTACCATACTAATGAACCCGAGTCCTTGAACGTGGACGTGTTCTATGCCATGTGCCGTAATGAAGGAATATTTAAATACCCACAATTTTTTTTAATTTAATTTTTGCAATCACATATATAATAACTGTTTAAGTTCACATTCTAGATGTTTTCTTTTTGTGGATAATTGTAATTGACCTAGATGTAGCAATTTTAAATACAATATTATTCACATTTATTATAAGAGGTTGTTAGTAACCTAAATATAAATAAATAAAGGTTAACTTAGTACGAGGTTCTACGGGAGTAATATTTACTCCTAGGAGGTTTGCTTATTATCTGTATAATATGAATTGGAACTAATATTAAAATTACAATTTTAGCTTAAATTGACTCTGACGCTAAACCTTGTTTATTAATAGCACTGATAATGTTCTAAATTGCAGAAGTGTGTCGCTTTATATGATTTCATTCGGTTGGTTTTTTGGCGGTATTTCGTTTTCGTATTTCCACATAATAAAAACGTACTATTCTCCGGATTTTCTCTAGGTATACTAGGCACTAGGCTAGTTTTATTCATGTATTTTCAATGAGATATGTATGTGTTAAATAAGTGTAAATCTCGACCAGTGATGTAGCTACTATGTAAGCTGCTGATTAACTTTAACTTAATATTAAATTTGTAAAAGAGATTTTTAATGTTGTAACTTCCATACAAATTACAGCTGCTCATTAACAAAAACAAAAGTTCGCGCTCACACTTCTGATAAAAAATCAGCAGTGCGAACGTAGCTTAGTGATATTTTGACAAATGTTTTTTTTTCTATTTATTTGTGTAAACAAACAGTTACATTTGACCCGTGACACAATGTCACGGGTCAAATGTAACTGTTTGTATATGTCACTCGTAACAAACAGTCACCAGTGCGCTCGTAGTTTTAAAGTTCACCTCCACCACAATTCCACCCTTCGCCACTGGTCACTGCTATCTAAACAGCACATCAGTGTATCCAAATCTGACTTATTTTTTGAATAGATTTTAAACCTTAATATATATATACTAGAGGACTGGTTTCATCACACCCTGTCATATCATGACCGTACTATGAATTTATCAAGCATGGAAATAAACGACATGGTCTACTTTTTCCACTGCACCGTTTCAACCTTGTGGCATGTCGGTATGCAACCCGTTTGCGAAGCGTAGAACATGCCACCAGACGCAGTGGGTGATACGATCCCGGCCCACGCCGAGGGAGCGTCATAAGTAGTAAAGGATTTCCTAGCGTTAAAAAAAGGCAACGCGGTCATGATACATATTATGTAGTTGGCAAACAAATTGAAACTCCAAATCGACGACGAAATTTTGATGTCTATTGATACCCTGATGGGTTGCTTGTACATTTACCATTTCAGTATCACCATAGAGCATCATAGAAGAGAACAGAAGACTATCCGTTTCGGGGATTAGTAATTAAAAATACTAAAAATTTATCCATATTGAGGTACTTTTTTTTACTGATCCTCGAATCGGAGACGAACTGCACAGTCATCACACCTGAACGCACGAAATTTCATGATTTTTATATTAAGTATCAAGATAATTATATAATTTAATTATTGTAAAAGCTTGAACTACATTAACCTAACCCAGGGGTGGGCAACCTGCGACTCTTTCGATATAGAGTGGTAGCTCTGAAGTTCCATTTACAAAAAAATAGTATAAAATATTTTTTAAAGCCCTTTAAATCGTTTAATCTATCCGTATTTGAGTTTCCATATTACTATTACAATATGATTGAGATAAGTTTTAACCATTCTTGAGAGAGAGATATTCAAACTCGTTTGTCTCTATACTTTTTGTAGCATGACAAGGCTCAGAAATGACTGGACCAATTTTAAAAAACTTCACTTATGGAAAGCTATATCATCCGTAGGTGACATAGGTTATCATTTACGAGATCGGAGTCGCAGATTTTAAATATAAAGTAAATGAATTTATCAGAGGCGCTTTAAAAACTATGAAATTTTGTAAATTGTAGCTAATGGCTCTTCTATCTCTGAAGGTTGCCCACCCCTGTTCTAACCTAAGGGTCGGTGCATACCTGACGGAAGTAATGTCAGGACTAATAAATATTTGAAATTGATAATGTATCGCGTACTAACGCATACTTTCGTGAGACGCCCAACAGATCCGTCAGATTTGCACCGTCCTTAACTCAGCAATTCTTGGGGTGTTGGACAGCGCTTAAAATAAAAACTGGCCATCTGTAGATTTTTTCACCATTAAATAAAGGCTAAATTAGTTCTAATTATAAAAGCTTTTATAAAAAAAAACCAAGTTACTTCTGATCTTTAAATCTGACAGAAAATCAGTCAAGCCTCTCAAGGAAGACTGCAATCATATAGTATAGCCTAATTACTTTTTACGATATTCGTATGAAAATTGAAACTAACTAAGCTTAAGAATAGCCGAGATTATCGCAAGTTAAATAGTATTAACTTAACCCCAAATCAAAGCGAGGCTTACATTGTCGACGGTAATCTTCTATTACCGTTGCGGCGTAAAGAAGAGGCTTTGGTTAGTGTAAATCCTTTGCACAATTTCTTGCTGGCTTTAGTGAATGCTTTAGGAAAGTTTTGTGTGAATCTTACTAAAGAAACTTCTACCGCTGTTTAGAGGAATCTTGTACCAGTTTAGACTAAGAAATATTACTTATTAAGTTCTATAGCGTAGAATTTAGCACGCTTTGAGGTGGATGTAGAAGCTAAGCAACTTTTGTAATGGCCGATAAACGGATGGGTGATCAACAATTTAGTATCTCAAGCTCCTCCATACTACAAAGGCATGTTTAAGATAGAGCGCAGAGAACCCCTTCTCACTGGACGTGGTCGGCCCGGCGGCTACGTTCGGGTTCATCCAGCTGAGGACATGATCAGGGTTTTGGTGGGTAAGCCGTATAATTTGTTAAAGTGGTCACTCTACTCGGTTGGTCTGTTCTCAAGGGAGAATCCGACACACTTGCTGTCATACCGTCAGGCAGCAGGGATAGTAACTAATTTTATTTAGGTCAATAATTAGAAAACTTTCAGTCTTTTTCTCTTATTTTTGGTCCTTGCGATTGGCTAAGCATATCCTTCCCTAATTGAGATTTTAATCGGTTGTTTATGAGTAAGTTGTGTTGATAACCTTTGTTTTGTTCTTAAAATAAGAAAAAATAAATCCACCTTCACTTCTTTTGCACAATGGGAAATACCCCCGAGTATACTAAAAGTCGTTATCGCATTCCAGTCGACACACGATCCGTCCAACGTAGCATCTCTCCGTCCATCATAATAACTAGTCTCGTCCATTCAGTTTAGTGGCCACCTACTTTATGTTTGACCCATTTATGTGACCACTACAACTTCCAACTGCTCTCTACGTTTCAATAATGCGGTTTGTATAACATTATGTACTACTGCAGTTTTTGAAATCTCATTTTGTTTTGTAGGTAATTTTTTATTTTATTTTTATTTTGATTACATCTGTAGAGTATTTATAGACAATAATCTTACTGTACATTTAGCTCTTCACATAGGGTGGATGCGCAAAACGATATTACGTCCATATTCGATACTCTAATACGGCTCCAAAGAAACGTATTTTTGAGCATTTATGAAGCAACGGCGGTAATACCAGCAGCAATTCCGTAAAAGTTCGAACCCGAATTCGAATTCACTCAGGTCAGGTCAGGTCAGGATGACGCTTTCGAAATTTGCTGATTTCATCGCTTTGCTAATACTGCCTGTGATACACAGATAATCTTCAAGGATATGATTTTTACAAATTATAAGAACATTTTTAAAATAATTATATTTGATCAGTAGAGCAGTCGCCCGGATCGCGAAAGGTCGTGGGTTTGAATCCCATCTCAGGGTACCAGAGACAAAAGGGTTTTCAAGCTTTTTTCATTAAGATTTCGAAATTTTCAGAAATTGCGTTCGTTGACTAACAGCGTACGATCTCTGTTTCTGCCTTTACTAAAATCGTTCTGCACAGAGAATCAACAGCATGTTTTTGAGAACCAACGAAATGCGAGTCCGACTCGTATACCAAGAGTTCCATAACACAATTAGTAATTTAAGGCAAAAAACGCGTTTGTTGTATGGGAGTCCCCTTAAATATTTATTTTATTTTGTCTAAATAAATATTAAGAAGAATTCAAATATCCTACTATCACGGTTCTAGGGATATCCCTGACGTACAGATTGAGCGAAGTCTTAGTAATAGGGTTTTCGCTTTTATCCTCTTTTTTATGGAACCCCAAAAAACAAACCTCATAAGGTCAACCGCTGGTCATATCATTCGAGCTATTGTGTTAAGCCTTTGTCGTAAAATCTGACGGAACAATGAGGTCCCACTCGAGGATGCCTGCTGAAGTGGTTATAGCGTTCAGCATGTTTCAATCAATATTATAAATGGTTATATACCTATTTATGGCACGTCTTAGTTATAATTCTTGTGTTGTTGATAGTATTTTAAAAGAAATGTGACGTAGTATAATTAATGTTTTAGGAATGTATCGTCCCATGATGTAAGAGGTGAACGCCTCACTGACGCATCTCGTGGTCTCTCACCAAGAAAACATGTACCCTTTGTTGCATTTTTAACCGACTTCGAAATCGAAAAGGAGGAGGTGAAATGTGCGACGGCGATATATGTATTTTATTTATGTTCACCAATATTTTCGTCAATTATTTACCGATTTTAATTTTTATTTTTATTTGACAGCTGGATGAAATTTTATCGAAATCGAATAAGTAGTTTCCTTATATAACAAAACAAAATACGCTTTCCAACAGATATATCACCTAAATATGAAGATGATATGTTATGACATGGCCCATTTCAGCTAAAAAACAAAAGATTGCATATTTAGAATTCATTCAAAATCTGAAAGGAAGATTATCTATATTCAACGAGTATACATACTTTATTCTTTGATGCATATTTTTCATGAAGATTATAAATAGTAGGTATCACCGAGTAAAGCTTAGTTAAAATATAGGGGTAGGTATGTGCATCGATTTCTTCTGGAATTGTGAACAAATTTCTATCAAACTAGCTGTTTTCCGCGGCTTCGCCTGCGTAAATTATAGCCTATGTCCGCTGCATATGATGTAGCTATCCGTAGACGAAAGACGTTTATAAATCAGTCCATAGACTATTGGACCGATAATTTCGGAGCCTATCCAATGCAAACAAACTAAACAAACTTTTTAAAATATGAATACAGATAATTGGAAAAAAATATGCCGAGTAAATAAACAAAATCTCCTATTCTAAAACATTCACTATGTTAAATATTTTTATTGTTAACTATTATATAAGCAAAGCATAAAATAAAACTTTTTATAAAATGTAAAACCGACTCCAAACTTTGACAAAGTGATTAATAATACTTATCTCAAAAGCGACTTATTCAAGAAAATGCTTTTGACGTCTCTTTTTATAAAAAGTTTTTAGTTCATATTATTAATGCTTTTTTTTTGTTTCAATATGTAATTTTTACAACATAGGATTTCTTAGCTTGTTTTTCAACACATAATAATAGTTTAGTCATAGATACACATAAACTATATAGTATGTAATATAGTAGTATGCATAAAATAATAAAAAGCTTCTGCACTTCTGGAAGGAGCTGGGTTGGCAAGAGTAACAGTCGACCTTTTACGTTCAATAGACGAATAGAGACTAAGTTAAATCTATTAATATAGTGTTTTTGTCAAGAGTTGGTCACGATGTTAATCAAGTAAGTATTTACTCTTCAAATTTCGCGATCCCAAGTACTTACATGCCTAGTCTTAAAGGATTATTCGACGTATGTCACATTTGAAATGTGTTTGCTCAGAGAAATGAATCACTCCATATCTCATCAATTCAAAATTATAAGTCTTATTCTGAAGAATAATTTATTTGCACTTTATTTCTTGAATTTAAATACAATTCCTGATTTTATTTAATATATTTCCTCTTAAAACTCTGAAGTAAAGAAACAAATTTTCGAGTGACTAGAGTTTCCATTTTGCTCAAAACAACACAGTTGATGCTACTGTGTTTTTAAATATAACGCTAGATGGTAAACTTCTGGCCCATATACAACTTATGATAAACCTAATAAAGAAACAATTAATTTTATGAAATAAATATACAATAAATTTTATAAAGTTTTACGACTCTGAAGTTAGCCATATAATGCGCAGACCTCGCAACATGCTAGTAAACCTGTTAATATGTACCTAAAAATGGCGTTATACTACCGCTCTCGTGACTAACTACATAGCCGCAAAGGTGCATGTTGTATGTCAGGCAACTTATGTGAATATATACTGCTATATTAGTACCTTCTTTTACTTTCACAGTGTAATGTAGTATGAACAACAATCTGAGCAATTTTATAATCTCTAAGTTAAGTACTAATTATAAGAAAATTTTAAGAAAATTCAATTAATTTTGTTTCTCAATACATATTCAAAGGCTTAATGTGTACATTACGAAAAATATAACTTTTCTCTATGAATCCTAGACATAACAAATGACATTGAGGACGTTGTATATTACACAATACTCTTCAAACGTGAGTAGCTTCTACAATAAAATTCCAAGAAATATTAACAATGAAATTTAAATAAGTAATTTTAAAGATAACTTTTCAAGAAAGTCTTTGATCTGTGTATTTTTTAATTTCACGCAATATTTCAGGGAAAGTAGATGAGAAGGCGACGCAGCTACACGCGATAGCCTCTCTAAAGGTGCTGCTTGAGGCTACCAGGCCTACCGCGGGAGGCGCAGGGGCGGCTGCGGCAAGGCACTCGGCCGCTGCCACGCAAGCTAAGGAGACCCCGCTAGATCTACCCAATGGAGGACTAGCGGACGTCCAGTTAGATGCTATAGAAGAGGTAAGAAATGGCCATCTGTGCATCGCATATAAAATGCATATTTCTAGCACAAAACTTATATAAAAATAGCTATTAGGAACTTTGAGTTAGATTGAACAATTGCTTGTACATTCGATCTGCTATTGCAAAGGTTAAGTTAAGAAGCATTCACAAAAGCTTGTTATTGATAAAAAATCTCGAGCTTTTTTGTGTTTGTTAAACTTTTAGTCTCAACTGCATCTACAATAGTTAAGGCTCATATTCGCTCTAGATCTGAATGGTTACCCATCCTCCCGATTTTCATACGTAGGAAAGACATGCTATATTGGTATTCGGGACAAAATAGTATTAATAGACTGGTGATTATTATGTTGTTTATGGATAAGAATGTTAATTTAAAATAAGATGATAAAGTTACTCTCGACTCTCGACTCTTCAGCCAATGAAAATGACTTCCCTAATGACGTCACAAATAGTGACATAAGGCCACTTCATTCCTCTTAGCCACCATTCTTTGAAGAATACTGCATAAGACACGTGGAAATTAATATTGGTCAATTAAAATTTCGCTTTATGGAGTAGCAACCTCTAAGCAATACAAGCAAGCTAAGCACACTTCTCGTCGGCTTCCACTCGACTACTCTTCTGCAAAAGCCACTGCAGTGCTCAGTCTGCAGCCTCGAACATGACTTAGAATCGAAATTAAAATTTCTCGAAAAGTTAGAAAAAATCTATTTAATATTATTATTCAAATTAAATGCACACATTGAGATGATTCTGGATTAGACTTATTAGTACGCTTTTATATTTATCATCACTATATAGTTCAAAGTAATAAAAAATAAAAATAAAAACATATCTAATGATTAACTACAGTCTTTTTCAGATAGCATGGGTACGGTGTCGTTTGCGATTTGATTTTTTGGTGATGTTGATGTGGTAATAAAAAATATCTATACAAAATCTCGATATTATAGAGATAATCGATTTTCAAGTCAATGTATAAAATAGGATTTAAGAAAAATATTGATTCATTAGCAAGATGAATCCGAGTCAGAAAAATACAAAACTTTACTATAGTTAAGTTTAATCACTATGACAATAACTATTAAAAAATTGCCAAAATGTTATCGAATACATATTTCCGATAAAACGATTTGATTAATCAATCCCTATTACAAAATCGTTCCAATTTTCTTTTCAAGTATTGTTGTTTTGATCTTTAATTAGAGGTAACCCTCTGGTGATTTCAGTAATTATGGCTATTAAAAAAAATTAGTGTTTTTTACAATGATGATTTATAATTATTGGAAATACAAATTGATTTAAATGGATTTATTAGCATGTGTCACCCTAACCATGCTTTATGAAACGGATTATAGTTATCCCTTTTGTCTTTATTCTCTCCTACAGTAGTAAAAAGTCAGTAGTAATATATTGTATATAGTGAAGACAAGACCACAAATTTATCGAAAACTGTAAAACATAACCATCAACAAAATTTACATTCTGAAAGCATCTATAAAGTAAATATTTATAATGTTTATCAGCCGGTGAAAAAGAAATATTTTAGCGCTAATTTGCTAAGTTTTATCTTTACTTTGTATGGTATTATTTTACAAATATCTTCGAAATATCAAGAGAGACTACAATATTCATATTGTTTGTGATATTATTTATTTATCACAAACAATATGTTTTACATACGTCTCACTTAACGTAGCTTTTGGTAAATCTGGTCGTAAGATTTCGCAATTATATTATCTAGTGAGCCTCAGCAAGACTCATTATGCCACTTGCAATCCATAAATCCACCCCCGTGGTAAATAATTACCTGATCCTACTATTAGATTCTATCTATTAGAGAGTCCAGTACTTTTTACAGTGAAATCATTAACCGATATTATGTATATACTATTATAAATCGTAAGTTTACCAGGCTTAATAATTGAGTGATTGGCACCGAATGTTTGATGTCAAATCCGTTGTTTTCTTTTATGTACAAGTGAAATCTAAAATAAAATAAATAACAATCAAAAACTAATCAATCATATTGCCTTATACTTATCTAGAACTCATAAATTTAAATAAACTTAAAACAATCATAAAGATCTGATCTTAAAATTAAAAATGCCGGCGTTCCTCAAGGAAGTATTCTTGGATCACTGCTGTTTCTGGTGTACATAAATACAAGTGCATAATGTTTGCAGATGATACAACAATAATCATTAAGTGTGACAATAACAATATTGACTCTTTCGAACATCAAATAACCACAGCATGTTACTAAAAGGTTGAATGCAATTAATTTAATATTAAATATTAATAAAACTCAATTAATCCAGTTAAGATATACAACATAAGTCTTATATCAAATTTTTACAATTAGTTACAAAAATATTGAAATTGACGAAGTAGATTTAATACGTTTTCTTGGGTTATTGATTGATAAACATCTAAATTGGAAGCAGCGTATTGACCATATATGTGGAAAGCCAAACCGTTTTATATTTGCAATAAAAAAACTGAAACAGTCTCTGTTGAAGCTGCTTTAATCCCCTACCATGGATATGTGTCGTCTGCTTTAACTATGGACTGTTATTGTGGGGAGTTTCTGTTGATCTGACAGACTTTTTAGAGTTCAAAAGAAGTGTATTCATGTCATATGTAATGCTTGGTTTGATAATAGTTGTAAACCACTTTTTAAGAAGCTTAATGTTTTGCCTCTACCCTGTATGTACATAAAAGATGTATGTTTATTTGTTCAGTCCAACTCCAAATATTGGACTAAACGTATAGAAGTTATACCCCGGTAAACTAGACAAAAATATATAAATTTATTGTACCAGACATTTATAAAAATAGTGTATACAGTATGTGCATAACTATATAGAATAATTTACTAGATGACATGAAATTTTTGAATATGAATGAATTTAAATTAAAATTGACAAAGTGGCTTATGGAACACAGCTTCGGCAGTGTAAAGGACTTTTTCTCTTTTAAGAAAATTGCATGATTTAATAGAATAATATTACGATTACAATATTTGCACGCCTGTTCTTGAGTAGAATACTGTACCTATTTAATTTTGTGACCTTATTAATTTGTATTCTAGCAAATAAAGATCTTGCCCAGTTAAAAATATAAAAAAATTAGGAGCGAAGGTCTGATATATCCTGGGACCCAATTACCTGATCACTTAAATTCATCCATATGTATTAAAATCTCATAGCGAATAATTTAACAGTCAAACTTAGTGAAGTAGATAACAGACTTCTGTAAGGTGGGGCTAAAATGTTTGCCGAACAAATTATTAAACATAGTTTGTAACACCGAAACTTAAGGGAGCCCCGAAGGTGTATTTATTTATGTAGGTCGTTCCTGTCTCACCTAAAATGGTTCATTAAGCATAAAAACATAATCTAAAGTCGAATCAAGCCCGGATATTACTTGTGTGCGGGTTTTATAACCAGTAATGAAAAAAATATAGATTTTAGGTCTATTGTTTTACATTTCTTGGAGAAGAAAATAAATTATCGTAACCAATTCTAGAAAAGTTTTTTTAAAGTTCTAGAAAATAACATTCTAGAATGTGTTTGCAAAAACCACTTTTGAAGTTAATAATATTTTATTTTATTTAAAAAAGATAACAAGATATGTTTTGTAGTGACATAAGTATACGTTTTGGCATACCTGGGGCTGGTGAATTTTTTGAGTATTTTGCTTTGAAGATGTTAACGAAACCACTTTTTTAAAAATAGAATCGAGTAGAATTTATAAAAGGTGCTAATAATAGAATAATAATAATTTATTTGCATTTACACAGGATACATGAAGAAGATGGATAAAAATAATACGATCATTGCCTATGCAGCCATTAACAAATAAAATGCAAATATTGTAAAGTAAAACCACACCAAGCATTGATAAAATTTTTAAGTAAGACATATACATATCTAACATGAGTAAGCTAACATTCTTCCTTTAATCTAGTAAGAGACATGTTGTTTATAGATTCTGCAATCTCATTGAATGTTATTTCGGACATATACCAGTAAAACATCAGTATTTTTTAATCGCACGCTTTTTGGCAGTATGTTCACCACCAACCTATTTTTATTTCTAGTCTTTCTGGGATACACTTATTAGGCTTTTTTAAATAATTAGGATATTGTTTGACAAATTTCAATACTTCAAAAATGTAAAAGCAGGGTAGAGGTAGAATACCGATAATGCAAACTATTGTGATAACGTTTGGTTTTTTTATACTTTCCTATCCCATATCTTCATGATAAATTCTTTATGAAGTATGCAGAGAGGACTAAGCGCCACAAGAAAAGACTTTCTTCTTTGACATTTATAACTTTTTTCTAAGGTGCTCGCTGGATTTTGGTTTCTAAAATCCCTCTATGATAGATATAAAATATTTCTTTGCCTTTTGCGTCTTCTACATCCTTTCTACTTCTCGGTGTGTTTAGTCATTCTCTTGTCAGGATTTTTGCTTGACACTAATATGCTTAATTGTGTTTCAGATAGGAGACTTGGATGAAGACACGACACCGCTAGACATGTCGTGGCCATCCGGGTTCCGTAAGCGACTGACATACCTGTTGGTCGCGCCAATTGTCTTCCCACTATGGATCACCCTTCCGGACACGCGGACTCCGAGAGGTGACTTTTTAGAGTCAAACGTATATTGCGCAAGTCCTGGGCGGTATCTCTTTGATAAGTACTTAGTCGTTGCTAAAGGCAACCCCCTCACTTCTCTAGCAACGAGTACAAATCGAGAGTTAAAACAGTAATAAGTAAAACATGAGTTATATTGCACGCAATATCATACAGTATTATAGTATAATCTTAATTTTATATCTAGGTATTCGTACTTTGATAATATGCTTCTCTTGTCAACATGGAGTCGTCTTCTTCTGAAGCTCGTCTAAATAAACAATTTTACAATTATATATTCCTTTTTTAATCATTTTGTATTCAGTAATCATTTCGATATAATCAGTATGAATAATAATTAGAATTTTGTTTCATTTTCAGGGAAGAACCTGTTCCCTATAACATTTATAGGATCTATCGTTTGGATAGCGTTTTTCTCGTACCTGATGGTTTGGTGGGCAAATGTGGCCGGTGCGACGGCCCACGTGCCGCCCGAGGTCATGGGGCTTACGCTGCTCGCTGCAGGGACATCAGTGCCCGACCTCATCACGTCTGTGATAGTAGCCAGAAAGGGCTTCGGGGACATGGCGGTCTCCAGCTCAGTTGGCAGCAACATATTCGATGTAACCGTTGGGTGAGTGCTAGTATTATCAGAAAACTGTTATCTTATTAACAAATGTTACGTAGTCTTAACGTGTCTACCGATTTACCATACTTCTGATCATCAGAAATCATATTTGTACGAAATCATAGACTATCATTGACACTGCAGCCAGCTGTTCTATAGTGTATTCTAAAGATAACTTATTCTTTGAGTTCTTCCTGTAGATGCTAACTTAGTTTGGCTCGTGCCCAACAGAATAGCTTACAGTAAAATTGGAATTGTATCACATGCGGTGACGTAGTAGATTTTAAGTTACCAAAGGTTATGCGGTTTGATCAAAGCTATAATTGATTGTTGTTTTTTACAAAGTCTTAGTCGTAATTAAACCATGATGAAGTCGTAACCTTGATACGACGTTGTTGCCCTTTTCCACACTAATACGTAAACCAGCCTTAACCTTTTGATGTATCACTGTTAACCTTGACTCAATCTATATCCGCTTCCGATGTCTTGATTAAGAATTGTAAAGGGAAACAGATAAAGAGGACGCCTACCATAGATCGCTACATTTAAATTAATTGTAAACAAAAGAAACTCAATTAGCAGTAGGGGAGACCTAGGTGAGTTGTGACAGAGGTGAGTTGTGACAAGGAGGATTTCTCTCTACGTATTATAGTAAGCGAGATGGCATTAACGCTTGTTTGTCGTTCTCGACACGCGCTACACGACTCAGTACCTGTCGACGGTGCATGTGGCACAGTTGCGTAAATATATCGTCAGTGTACAAAAAATTTCGAAAAGTAAGTTTTTCTTCAAAATATTATTTGAATATATATCATATCTTAGTATATGTGCATTGATGTGTTATTTTTTCTTAAGTTATGTAGTTATTTAAGTCTCAATACGTGGCACTGATTTTTTGTATGCGCATCATGTTTAGAAAATATGAATTATTATTCGGACCAAGACGTCATTTTGAACACCTAGGTGAGTTGTGACAGCCTGTCACAACTCTCCTATCTTACTTCATATTTCTGCTGGGCTATTTTTACAATATTTTTATTAACTTTAGATGTTTGTTGGTGTGTTAGTAGCTACTAAAGGTGTATAATGGCATACCGCATACTTATTTTTTTGAAAATGCCAAATAACTATACACGAGAGACTGAAAATCTAAGAATGTTAAGAAGCGTGCGAAGAAAAAAAAAGAAATCTAAAAAAGCAAAGAAGACTAATAAGAAGAATAGAACAAGTGATGAAGCAGATTCTGAAAATAATTGCTTTTATTTGGTTTGCCTTGAAGCCTATGCAGACAGCAGATCGAATGATCAGTGGGTCCAAAGCCTGGAATGCAAAGGCTAGGCACACGTAGATTGTACTGGGGACGAGCTGCATTACGTTTGGCATAATTGTGAATCTGATTAGATTAAGATTTTATACTGATTATAACAATAATATGATTGATCTCAAAGCGATACCATATTTAGTTAATGAAAATATTATAATTACTTGTTATGAGAATATTAATACTATGTTGCTTTAGTTGGTAGGTATTAAAAGATGATTAATCAAATCAAATCAATCTTTATTCTTGATCGCAGGTTATATAAAGATATTGGATGCAAGGACTGAATAGTTACACCGTGATCTGCCTAAAAGGCATATAATATTAGTAGGTTAGTAATGGTCAACTAATCTAATCAACATGTTATGTCAAAAATTCAATTAATTCATTAAGTATTTATACATTTACAAAGTACTGTCAGCTAGATACTCGTTTACACTATAATATGCTTTAGCTACTAATAATTTACAAAGTTTTCTTTTAAAAAACATTACAATTATCCAGATTACGTATTGTTTTTGGAATTTTATTAAAAAATTTTGGAGCCATACAAAAGATACTTTTGTTCAACAACTGCTCTCTTAGAGGGTATCGTACACAATTTGTCTCGATGACGCAATCTCGTCTTATTTTCAAATAGTTGTTGATTCTGTTTGACAAAAATACCAACATCGAATATATAGATTGATGGCAGGGTCATAATATTTAGTTTAATAAAATATGGCCTATAGGTATCCCTGCTCTGTAAATGGCATATGCTCCTTACACATTTTTTGGGCTCTAAAGGCAGTTACAGAATCAGTCGAATATTCCCAAAATATAATGCTGTATCGAACAGTAGAAACTACGTACGCGTGATAAGCTGTAAAGAACGTGCACTGATTCGCGATCCTACTACATAAGTTTGTACAGTGCACAAGAATACTGGGACAACTTTTTGCAAACATGTTCAATGTGTGTTTTCCAAGTCAAATTTATTATTATAGTACTGATTAAAATACTGATTTGATAAAAAAATGTGCTTGATTTATTTATGTCGTATGTAATGGTATTTTTATATCTTATAGCTTAAATACAATGATGTCACAACTTACCTCGGTACCTGTCACAACTTACCTCGGTGGTAGGAGAGTTGTGACAAGGGGAGTGGACTTGAATTTTGTTATTTTTTTCAGAAACTATTATACTTTAATTAATTTTACTAATGTTTTTGAAAACAGAAGGAATGGCTCTAAACTAATTCACATGAGTCATAACTGTGGAATGTTTCTTAAGCGAGATAGAGCCCCTTATGTAAAAATTGTCACAACTCTTCTAGGTCTCCCCTAGGTATGAGAAAACTTCAATAAGTAAGGGTAATGTTTGGTCGTAAAATGAAATTATAAAGTTAAACTATTAATTCTATATCTTTGCGTAATATTACTTTTTTTTTATTGCTAAGCGAATCACTTTTTAACTTGACACTGGAAAGACTTATACAATAATCGTAATGGATCATTATTAATTAATTTTAACCAGTTTTTGACGCTTTTATTCACGCAACAGACCATACTTTGTCCCAATCTCAAAGATAATCTTATATAGAGGATTTATGTAAATCACTGCTATGTGCAGCTTAGCTTGTGATAAGTTCTGAAATTAGTCTTTATTGAGTACGACCAATTTAATTAAAACTAAAATTGTATCTTAGTTCAATTTTCCATACATTCTAGCAATAAGATAATCCTCTAGAAATTTGACTACTGCATCACAATGTCTTGATACCTTCGCTAGTGAATGTAATGCAATTGCATGCAACTCGATCAATACTAGCCGCAAACGGGGAAGATAAACAACCAAATCCCTCAGGAATAAGGTTTAAAATAATTCAGATGACTGTTGAAACAGATCCTAGGTTCTTTATAAGCTTTAAGTGAATTGCATAAACTCTATTTCACGTTAACAACGGTTGTGTTCGAAACATTGATAATAACAGTTTCAGAATATTCACACTAAAAGCAATGTAATACCTTTAATATCTTAACTTGAATTTTCCCAAATATATTAAATTATATCTATAGCAGGTAAAGATAACAGCATATTAAAATGTTGAATCTGTATTATATAATCTATTTCAGAAAATCAGAGACTTTTATACATATAAAACTATCTACGCAATTTTAGTGTCTATGCTTATAGTGTCGATGTGGTATTTCAAATTTATGGTATTCTGCTTTTCATACTTTTACGGGGCATTTTATACTTCGATTTCAATGTTAGAACTCAATATTTCTTTGAATTATTTTGGGATACATGTGTACTATTGTTTTAATGAAATTTTTCTTTGCAACACGAAATACAGTATATTGTATTTCATGTTGCAAAGAAAAATATATTTGGATTATTTTACAGATAATTCTTAATTATCGTGTATAAACAAATAAAACCACAAGCGACAGCTAACGATAATACGCATTGCATCATAAAAAAATAAGTATGTTATTTCGTGTCCTCTAGAGTGAGCAGACAATCAAGGCCTTTATATCTATATCTTATTCTACAAATTATGAAGATCATAGTCGTTCTTTTTACTCATTTTTACTTTGCCTTATACGAGCCAAAACATTCATATTCTTCTTCTTCTTTTATTAACAGTTTATCAGCGCGTTTCGCACAATTCTGCCAACTTTAAGTGAATAAATTAATTTCTATATGTAAAATGAAATAAATGAAACATGGCGATGAATTTGATCAGTCATAAAAAATTCAACAAATATTTGACAGCGGTAAAGAATGAACTAGAACTAAAATCATGCTATCCTAAAAGCTTGCGTGATTCAGACTTGCAAGTAAGCGTGATCGAATCCCACTATTCAAGGCCAATTTGCCCATTTGAGCCGGTTAAGAACTTACGACCTTGCCTATAACCCCCCGATTCAACCCCCATTCACCTTGTTGCCCCTGTGAAAAGTCACTACTTAACTGCTCGATATTTATCTACACAATTCAATGTAGTTACGTCCTTGGCCCAAATGAAAATATTCATGCGAAAATATCATTCTACCTTAACATCAGCAATTGGATAAAATTATGACTTTTTAAAAATGATATGGGACAATACTATAGTTTGGAACAGGGCATTTGTGGCAAAGAAAAAATGCATAAGGGTTATATGTGGAATTTCTGCTAATGAATCATGTAGAAATAAATTTAAAATTCTAGGCTTGCTGCCTCTTCTGCTGTCCATAGCTCTAGAGTACGAAGAGCTAAACATAAATTAGTTATAAATAATATAACCGTTTTCTAGCAATGTGCGTTAAAATATACAATAAGATACCGATTCGAATTGAGAGATTAAATTGTTTTCTTTAAAAAAAAAAGAGTTTCTAAATAGCTAAATGAAAATAATGTTCATACAATTAAGGAACTGACGTATAGATATAGTTTTTAACAAAGTCGCTGTACTTGTACCCCTATGTACTCGTATGTTTAAATCTTTAAAACTACGCAACGGATTTTGATGCGGTTTTTTTCATAGATAGGGTGATTCAAAAGGAAGGTTTTTATGTATAATACAAGACCACGCGTGCGAAGCCGCTGGCGGAAAGCTACTGTATTATATATTTAAGTACTGACATCATATAATTTTAGACATTATTTTGTTCTCGACGTTATTATTATTTATATAGAATGCCAATAAATGCTTCACTAAGTTTGTGTGAAGATTGACATTGTAAAAATTTGATTGCTATTTAAATACTTATAGTAGAACATGAAAACGTATATAAATTTATGAATCAACATTTTATATCATGTTTTATGGAAATAAATACTTTATTAATATTATTCCTTGTTTCAAAATTCCATAATAGCTTAAGCTTCTTAACATGGGATCTGAGCAATGTATGTGATGTTATCTAACCCATTTATAAGGCAAATTTACACATCAATAACATGTATGAGATTCTCAGAACTGTATTAAAAAAGATCACCCTCGTTTATATATATACAAAAAAATTAAGTTGGAGTGTCTATTTGTATTATTTAAATAAACTCTTTTTACTTAATGTATATATATGTATACACGGCACATATACTAAAACCTTACTGGCAGATAACTTTTGTACTAAGGAGTAACTTGGACTACTTTTCACGCCGACGAACTCGCGGGTATAGCTAGTATAAAATAAAGCTTACTGAAAACACTTGATAAAGCATCGTCAAATTGTTATACCTACCTCCCATTATATTAAGTCTAGCTGTGCCCGCGACTTCGCCTTAGCTTTAAATACTCCTTATTACATAAGCTATCTATCAGTAAAAGTCCCATCGAAATTGGTCCAGACAGATAAAAATAAAAAATCGGTTTTATGTGCCGTGTATACATACATACTTATGTATTTAATAAAAAGCGGTTGTTTGAAAATCACAAACAGACACTCCAATTTTATTTAACTGTATAGATTTCTTTTGGCTTATAATAACAAGTTTATAGAAATACGTTTCTTTAAAATTCCAGGTTACCACTTCCTTGGCTGTTGTATGGCCTGATTAACGGGGAGCCAGTACAGGTGAACTCCCAAGGGATGGTATGCAGTATAGTGCTGCTATTCGCCATGCTCCTCTTCGTGATCCTCAGCATCGCCTGCTTCCGGTGGAAAATGAACAGGGGACTCGGTTTCACCATGTTCATGTTGTATTTTGTTTTCGTCGCGGTCAGTTTAGGTCTCGAATATGGTTATTTACACTGTCCTCATGAATAGATAGGTGAAATTAGTAAGAATCAATCAACAAAGACATGCAATCAATGGGGCACAATTTAATACCTCCTAAATCTTAAACCATCACTGCAATCCTACTTCGTGAAGCTATTGATAAAAATATGGTCCTCTAAACATAATAGGGCCCACTGTCTCGATGTCTAGGAAGACGTTTCTCGAAGACGGGTGCTCGAAGATTGCTTATAAATAATTGAGTAGTTGATTTGTGATATGGAGCAATAATACTAAAAGTAGACATATCACGGATTTCTTATGATTTCTTTGTGTGTGAATAGCTAGAATAGAAATATTGTAGACATTATCCTGTTTCGAAATTGTAATGATACTTGAGAGAAGTCAATGTGGCGTCAGATCCATGGTACATTTTTTGTGACAAATTGATCTAGCGAAACCAATGAAATCTAAATAGTACCACGGATGTGTTGCCAAAAAAATTCTAACATGAATCACTAGCTAATGGTGACACCAAGTCGTAAAAATAAACTAGAAAAATTAAAAAAAAACCAATGAACAAACACGCTGGAGCAAATTTTGAAAATATGAAAGCTGACGGTGAAAAAATATAACAAACAAACCCCCACACACGAATTAATTCTCAATATTTGCATTTCAAACAATGACCTAGTTCTTTTCTATATATAAAAGATCCTCATATTCTTATAATTAAATAAGGTTAGCCAAAAACATTAAACTCTGTTTCTTGTGAAATGAAACAAGCATTAATATATGTTTAAAACTACTACCGATTTAATTATATAAATTTTATAATTTTAAAAATACGTTGTGAAAACAAAGTGGGCTCTATTTTGATTTGATGAACATATTCTTTCTTTAATTATACGAAAAAAAGCAAAACGTTTGAAAACGACGAAACTCCTGAAATCCTGAAATTTTTCTTTATTGGTATCATTTCCTTTAGCCTAGGGTCGCCTGGTAGAGATTGCTACCTTAGCAATAATTCCGCCTTTTGTGTTACTGAATCTAGTTTTATGTACTTTTCTTACTGTATTTCATAGTGCAATAAAGAATATTCAATCAATCAATCATAAGGTTTGATTACAATATAAGTAAAAATAAAGTTGAATTTAAAGTCGCGTTGCACAACAAACAAATATAATTAGCTGATCTTATTTGTACTATTAAAGATTATATATTTCAGGAAGCTCGTTAAAGGCGTTTCTTCGCAAATATTACGGTCACAATGAACTTATCCTTAAAAATATTTTCCATTGATTTACTGTCTTATTGAAAATACTAGAAATATACACAGTGAAATTTTGATTACTCGAGAAAACTTTAACTATCATAACATCAGTCAACAAAATTCAACAAGCACAGCTTTTATATTACAATATTTTTTTTTACATACAAGATTTGCATATGCATGGCAGTTCAATTGGTACATCTCTTTGCAGTTTTTATTGCATAATGTTTGTTCTTAGGAGAAAACTAATGAATAAATATTTGATTCAATTGATGTCTGAATAAGTAAATTTTCTCGCGTAATAATAAAATCACAATATATTTAAAATAATTATACTATTTTGTTACTTAAAGTGTTAGTTCATTAGCATAAACGTTTATAAATTGCTCAAACTTTATAGATATCTGATTGATTTGCTAAATAGTTATTTGTTTAGGTGGATTTTTATTATGAAGAATGCTTTTATATTAGCAATTGTACGAAATTATCAATGATAAGTTTAAGATGAGTGCATTTGGATAATTTAATGTATTGACAATTGACAGTAATTTTCCCTTCTTTAAACCTTAAATATCATATTTACTATTATTTCTTGTTTTGTTTAAACAAATATAAAAACTGAATGCTAAGAAAAGAAATCTTGGCATCAGATCCCTGATATATTTTTTAACACTACAAGTCAAATAAAAAAGCGTACGCAATAACGACAATTGTTTAGATATAGATGTACTTAACTTACAGTGATTCAAAAATGCCACGGATCTGACGCCAAAAACACTGTTTACCACCATCTGTTAATCACCCATAAACATCAATAGAGACTGTAGTAATCTATATAAATGTTAGTTGTTCGTTAAAAATTCGAATAGCGCTTTTCGCGTTACTATCATTTAGTATAATTTCGGACTAATTTTGAACCGCTATCGTCGTCTAAATCTTTTTCCTGTATTCGACGTTTGGCCCTATTGCCTATTTATGAAAATGATATAAAGTTAAAGCAAAAGCGTAAACTTTATTTATTCATTTTCTAATATGCTTTTTCATATTAATGTATTATGTAAATCAATACTACTGAACAGTTAAAATATAATCAATAAATCAAACTTTTTTATAATTTAGACAAATTAATTTTGATAGCTAAAAAGACTTGGAAGGCAATGGGCTGCTTGAATTGAGAGTATGTTACAGTAAAACCCAAGTAATATAGCATGTTTTCGTTCGCATATTCCGCTTATTAGAAACATATGATTAATATTAATAATAAATCTTGTTTTGATATATAAGTTTTAAAATACAATTACTAATTCAGTAGTTCTTAACCTAGGGGTAAATTAACTATATGAGAGAATAACAAAGAAGCTAATAATAAAGATCTTTAGTAAAAGAACAATGAAACCGTCGCAATGTGGAACTTTTTAAACTCGCTTTAAGCGAAACTAAACCACTTATTCACAGAGATATCTGTATGTACCTACTTGTAATATGTATACGCTGTTAAAGTTTGGGAAGAATTCAGTTTTCCTATAATCGTAGTTATTTTATACGTAAAGGATAGGAACCACTGCACTACACTTTCATACGGTGGGGGTTTAACGCATGAATCAAGCAATACGTGATTCTTGAATCATTCTGATTGGTCATTGAAACATCCCGAAAGGTTACGCTGGTAATTCAGCGAGCTATGTGACTTGTGTTTTACTGTAATTATATTCACAACGATAGTGTTTTGAAATAGACACCAATATGGTAGTACGTTTACGTGTCAGTTGATGAATCATGTAAATATTAATTTCCATCTTGTATCTAAAGAGTTTGTGCAGATTATTGAACGGTCTGGCGACCTTCAGTCCAAGGGTTGCTTTCGAGAATTTTATTGTATTGTGAAATGAATCGTTAGTGATATTGTTAAAGCACAATATGCTAGAATCGAAATATATGTAAATACACATGTAGACGCGTTATGAACGTCGAGCGGGGCAGATGTCACAAATCAATGAGACATTAATTCATTCCATAAAATGTGCCTAAGGGCTCTTTATTAGGGCCCGTTTAACATATTAGCTTCGATATTTATATTGTAAACAAGTATATCGTTCACTTTCATAGTGGTTGATGCAGTATGTAAATAGTCCTTAAATTAGCGTACATGTGTCCCGCTCTTAAGGTACTGTAGTTAATTTTTACAGTATGTATGACTTACCTTGATATTTCTGTTGTAATCCTCCTCATTTTGATTTCAAACTGTTGCTGTTGAAGTAACTAAAATGGATGTGTTGTTAATATTAATCTGACATTATTATAACAGTCAATTCTAATAAACTTTCTATTTGTAAGTTTCTAATACTCTCAATCGATTTACGGTACGGTTTAAAAATGCGTCGAGTTGAATAATTGTCTTTACATCTGTATATCAAGGAAACCGTCCATGAATATTGATTTCTTTCTTTAGACGCTTTGCAGTTTTATGTTATATAGTAAATTAATATTTTAAATTGTAATGTTAAACAGGATAGGCTTCATTTTTAATTACGTATGTTGTAAATCCAATTGTTGATAGCCCACAAATTTTATATTAATAACCCGCCTAATTGACATAGCAATAAATATTCTAGAATAGATAGTGAAATATTCGTATATTGTTAAGCTTTAACAAAATTCTTACAATCGTGTAACGCTCAAACAATAAGAATCAATTGCTGAATGCGTACAATAATGTACAACACTTTAAATAAATGAAATTTGAAATAAGTAAAAGCGCACAAGGAAATATTATGTCGCTAAAGAACCACTAATTTTGCCTCCATATATAAGTGGCTTAACTTCAAACTTTGTCGTTGGAAACAAGAAAAAATATAGCATTGATATTTCAAATAGTTATCACTTATGATGAATGATGATTGTGATTTATCAATGCCATACATTTCAAGAAAAATGTCTCGTCTGAGGCGACTGACGTTCAAATACAAAAAAATAATAATTCTTCAATATATTATTATAGAAAATTAAATATATTAAAAGATTTATATATGATATGACGGCTGCACAAGCAAACTAATATTTACAAGCAGTGGTTTCTGATATAAATGACAACATATCGATATTAGCCGAACAGTCTAGTAGATCTTAATCTGTGATAAGGGCATGCTTATGATGTTATTCATAAATTAAAAATGTTTATAGAACACATCTGTCTACAAATCACATAGTATCTGTATATTATATGATAAGCTTGGATTTGACTATAGCCTTCTGTAGTTCGCATAGTGGTGCCACTTTAGATCAGCAAGTCTCATTATTTTTATTTTCCTAAAATGTTACATATTTGTATGTAAAATCTCATACTGCGCGATCTTTAAGTGGCCACTCTTTAAAAATAAGCATTGAAATGATATTTGTTCTAATTCCAATTCTTTCTTTAAAATTCGGTGATATACTTCTTATAAATAATATTCGACTTAGGTTGACTTAGTGAACTATGAAACTAAATATACCATTTTACATACGTGAAATTAGTAATACCTACCTACTATTGGGCGAGCACCAAATTCGATTTGTAATTATGTAACGCTACGGAAGCTGCACTTAATACTATGCTAAAAGTCTTATTATATTAATATTATAAATTAGTGATTTCTATCTATCTCTTTAATAATGTAAAATTAGATCTTGTAAATTTGTCATCCTTCAATTGTTTTAGTTGTCGACCTAAATATTCGGGTGAACTGAATTTCGGTTGCAATGGCTGGTTAACGGCGAAATATGGAGATGTGTAACGGGA